CTTTTTTGTGACTTTCAGTGACTTTTTGGGTGACTTTTTGAGTGACTTTTTCAGTGACTTTTCAGTGACTTTTTGACTTTTTTTTTTTTTTTCAGTGACTTTTTCAGTGACTTTTTCAGTGACTTTTTCAGTGACTTTTTTCAGTGACTTTTTCAGTGACTTTTTTTCTTTTAGTGACTTTTTTAGTGACTTTTCACTTTTCAGTTGACTTTTTTGACTTTTTTACTACTGACTTTTTTACTGACTTTTTTATGACTTTTTTAGTGACTTTTTTAGTGACTTTTTTAGTCTGACTTTTTAGTGACTTTTTTTACTGACTTTTTTAACTGACTTTTTTACTGACTTTTTTAGTGACTTTTTTTACTGACTTTTTTACTGACTTTTTTACTGACTTTTTACTGACTTTTTTTAGTGACTTTTTTACTGACTTTTTAGTGACTTTTTTTACTGACTTTTTCAGTGACTTTTGACTTTTAGACTTTTTCTGACTTTTTTCAGTGACTTTTTCAGTGACTTTTTAGTGACTTTTTAGTGACTTTTTTAGTGACTTTTTAGTGACTTTTTTAAGTGACTTTTTACTACTGACTTTTTTACTTTTCACTTTTTTTAGTGACTTTTTTCTGACTTTTTTTGTGACTTTTTTGAGTTTTTTTCAGTGACTTTTTGTGACTTTTTCAGTGACTTTTTCAGTGACTTTTTCAGTGACTTTTTCAGTGACAGTGACTTTTTCAGTGACTTTTTGACTTTTGACTTTTTCAGTGACTTTTTCAGTGACTTTTTTGACTTTTTTTCAGTGACTTTTTCAGTGACTTTTTCAGTGGACTTTTTTGAGTGACTTTTTTGAAGTGACTTTTTCAGTGACTTTTTTAGTGACTTTTTTAGTGACTTTTTAGACTTTTTTAGTGACTTTTAGTGACTTTTTAGTGACTTTTAGAGTGACTTTTTGACTTTTTTAGTGACTTTTTGAGTGGACTTTTTGAGTGACTTTTTGAGTGACTTTTTTAGTGACTTTTGAGTGACTTTTTAGACTTTTTTAGTGACTTTTTTAGTGACTTTTTTAGTGACTTTTTTACTGACTTTTTTACTGACTTTTTTACTGACTTTTTTGACTTTTTTAGTGACTTTTTTTAGACTTTTTAGTGACTTTTAGTGACTTTTTTAGTGACTTTTTTAGTGACTTTTTTAGTGACTTTTTAGTGACTTTTTTACTGACTTTTTTAGTGACTTTTTTTTAGTGACTTTTTGACTTTTTGAGTGACTTTTTGAGTGACTTTTTGAGTGACTTTTTGAGTGACTTTTTGAGTGACTTTTTGAGTGACTTTTTGAGTGACTTTTTGAGTGACTTTTTGAGTGACTTTTTGAGTGACTTTTTCAGTGACTTTTTCAGTGACTTTTTCAGTGACTTTTTCAGTGACTTTTTCAGTGACTTTTTCAGTGACTTTTTCAGTGACTTTTCAGTGACTTTTTGTGACTTTTTTGAGTGACTTTTTCAGTGACTTTTTGAGTGACTTTTTGTGAGTGACTTTTTTGACTTTTTCAGTGACTTTTCAGTGACTTTTTCAGTGACTTTTTTGAGTGACTTTTTTGACGTGACTTTTGAGTGACTTTTTGAGTGACTTTTTGAGTGACTTTTTGAGTGACTTTTTGAGTGACTTTTGGAGTGACTTTTGGGTTGACTTTTGTGACTTTTGGAGTGACTTTTGGAGTGACTTTTGGACTGACTTTTGGAGTGACTTTTGGAGTGACTTTTCAGACTTTTTCTTTTTGAGTGACTTTTTGAGTGACTTTTTGAGTGACCTTTTGACTGACTTTTCAGTGACTTTTTGTTTTCAGTGACTTTTCCAGTGACTTTTCCAGTGACTTTTCGAGTGACTTTTCCAGTGACTTTTTGAGTGACTTTTTGAGTGACTTTTCGAGTGACTTTTCGAGTGACTTTTCGAGTGACTTTTCGAGTGACTTTTTTGAGTGACTTTTCCAGTGACTTTTCCAGTGACTTTTCCAGTGACTTTTCGAGTGACTTTTCGAGTGACTTTTCGAGTGACTTTTCCAGTGACTTTTCCAGTGACTTTTCCAGTGACTTTTCCAGTGACTTTTCCAGTGACTTTTCCAGTGACTTTTCCAGTGACTTTTCCAGTGACTTTTCCAGTGACTTTTCGAGTGACTTTTCGAGTGACTTTTCGAGTGACTTTTCGAGTGACTTTTCGAGTGACTTTTCGAGTGACTTTTTCCAGTGACTTTTTCAGTGACTTTTTTGACTTTTTCAGTGACTTTTTTCAGTGACTTTTTTCAGTGACTTTTTTCAGTGACTTTTTCAGTGACTTTTTCAGTGACTTTTTCAGTGACTTTTTCAGTGACTTTTTGTTTTTTCAGTGACTTTTTGAGTGGACTTTTTCAGTGACTTTTTCAGTGACTTTTTGAGTGACTTTTTAGTGACTTTTTGAGTGACTTTTTGAGTGACTTTTGACTTTTTTTTGACTTTTTTGACTTTTGAGTGACTTTTTTGAGTGACTTTTTTGAGTGACTTTTTCACTTTTTAGTGACTTTTTGAGTGACTTTTTTAGTGACTTTGACTTTTTTAGTGACTTTTTCACTTTTTTGACTTTTTTGTGACTTTTTTGACTGACTTTTTGACTTTTTTGACTTTTTTAGACTTTTGACTTTTGTTGACTTTTTTGAGTGACTTTTTTGAGTTTTTGACTTTTTGTGACTTTTTCAGTGACTTTTTCAGTGACTTTTTCAGTTTTTTGAGTGACTTTTCAGTGACTTTTTCAGTGACTTTTTCAGTGACTTTTAGTGACTTTTTGTGACTTTTTGAGTGACTTTTTGAGTGACTTTTTGAGTGACTTTTTGACTTTTTTGAGTGACTTTTTCAGAGTGACTTTTTGAGTGACTTTTTAGTGACTTTTTGAGTGACTTTTTTACTTTTTGACTTTTTCAGTGACTTTTTAGTGACTTTTTACTGACTTTTTTACTGACTTTTTTACTGACTTTTTTACTGACTTTTTGACTTGGTGACTTTTTTAGTGACTTTTTTAGTGACTTTTTGAGTGACTTTTTGAGTGACTTTTTCAGTGACTTTTTGGGTGACTTTTTGGGTGACTTTTTGGGTGACTTTTTTGAGTGACTTTTTCAGTGAGTGACTTTTGAGTGACTTTTTGAGTGACTTTTTGAGTGACTTTTGAGTGACTTTTTGAGTGACTTTTTGAGTGACTTTTTGAGTGACTTTTTTGACTTTTTGTGTGAGTGACTTTTTGAGTGACTTTTTGAGTGACTTTTTGAGTACTTTTTTGAGTGACTTTTTTGACTTTTTTGAGTGACTTTTTCTTTTTGAGTGACTTTTTGAGTGACTTTTGAGTGAGTGACTTTTTGACTTTTTGAGTGACTTTTTCACTTTTTAGTGACTTTTTCAGTGACTTTTTCAGTGACTTTTCAGTGACTTTTGACTTTTTCAGTGACTTTTTCAGTGACTTTTTCAGTGACTTTTCAGTGACTTTTTGACTTTTTCAGTGACTTTTTCAGTGACTTTTTCAGTGACTTTTTTCAGTGACTTTTTTTTCAGTGACTTTTTCAGTGAAGTGACTTTTTCAGTTTTTTCAGTGACTTTTCAGTGACTTTTTCAGTGACTTTTTCAGTGACTTTTTCAGTGACTTTTTGACTTTTTTACACTTTTTTTAGTGACTTTTTCACTTTTCAGACTTTTTCAGTGACTTTTTCTTTTTAGTGACTTTTTCAGTTTTTTTCAGTGACTTTTTTCACTTTTTCAGTGACTTTTTTTTCAGTGACTTTTTCAGTGACTTTTTGAGTGTTTTTTTTACTGACTTTTTTGACTTTTCAGGTGACTTTTTTCAGTGACTTTTCAGTGCTTTTTGTGAGTGACTTTTTTGAGTGACTTTTTGAGTGACTTTTTGACTGATGAACTTTTTGAGTGACTTTTGAGTGCAGTGACTTTTTCGTGACTTTTTTGAGTGATTTTTTGTGAGGACTTTTCAGTGACTTTTTCAGTGACTTTTGTGAGTGACTTTTTTTGAGTGACTTTTTGTGAGTGACTGAGGTGAGTCAGTGACTCAGTTGACTTTTCAGTGACTTTTCAGTGACTTTTTGAGTGACTTTTTGACTTTTGTGACTTTTTTTTAGTGACTTTTAGTGACTTTTGAGTGACTTTTGAGTGAGTGACTTTTTTACTTTTGTGACTTTTGAGAGTGACTTTTTGATGAGACTTTTTCTTTTTGACTTTTTCACTTTTTTTCAGTGACTTTTCAGTGACTTTTTTGACTTTTTGACCTTTTTAGACTTTTTCAGTGACTTTTTAGTGACTTTTTCAGTGACTTTTTGAGTGACTTTTTGAGTGAGTGACTTTTTGACTTTTTACTTTTTGAGTGACTTTTTTAGTGACTTTTTTGACTTTTTGAGTGACTTTTTGACTTTTTTTGACTTGACTTTTTTAGTGACTTTTTGACTTTTGTGTGACTTTTTAGTGACTTTTTGTTTTTGAGTGACTTTTTCTTTTTTTATTTTTAGTGACTTTTTTAGTGACTTTTTTAGTGACTTTTTTAGTGACTTTTTGAGTGACTTTTTTGAGTGACTTTTTTTAGTGACTTTTTCAGACTGTGACTTTTTAGTGACTTTTTGAGAGTGACTTTTTGAGTGACTTTTTCACTTTTTGAGTGACTTTTTGAGTGACTTTTTTGATGACTTTTTGACTTTTTGTGACTTTTTGAGACTTTTTGAGTGACTTTTTGAGTGACTTTTTGACTGACTTTTGAGTGACTTTTTTAGTGACTTTTTCAGTGACTTTTAGTGACTTTTGAGTGACTTTTTGAGTGACTTTTTGTGACTTTTGTGACTTTTTTAGTGACTTTTTTTTTTTAGTGACTTTTTTGTGACTTTTTGAGTGACTTTTGAGTGACTTTTCAGTGACTTTTCAGTGACTTTTGAGTGACTTTTTCAGTGACTTTTTCAGTGACTTTTTCAGTGACTTTTTCAGTGGACTTTTCAGTGACTTTTTCGGTGACTTTTTCGGTGACTTTTTCAGTGACTTTTTCGATGACTTTTTCCGTGACTTTTTCGGTGACTTTTTCCGTGACTTTTTCGGTGACTTTTTCGGTGACTTTTTCGGTGACTTTTTGACTTTTTTTCAGTGACTTTTTCGGTGACTTTTTCGGTGACTTTTTCGGTGACTTTTTCAGTGACTTTTTCGGTGACTTTTTCGGTGACTTTTTCGGTGACTTTTTCGGTGACTTTTTCTTTTTTCAGTGACTTTTTCAGTGACTTTTTCAGTGACTTTTCAGTGACTTTTTCAGACTTTTTCAGTGACTTTTTTGAGTGACTTTTTGAGTGACTTTTTGAGTTTTTCAGACTTTTTTGAGTGACTTTTTGAGTGACTTTTTTTTTTGAGTGACTTTTTGACTGACTTTTTGAGTGACTTTTTTGACTTTTGAGTGACTTTTTGAGTGACTTTTTGGAGTGACTTTTTGAGTGACTTTTTGAGTGACTTTTGAGTGACTTTTTTGAGTGACTTTTTTGAGTGACTTTTTGAGTGACTTTTTGAGTGACTTTTTGAGTGACTTTTTCATTTTTTGACTTTTTTGACTTTTTTAGTGACTTTTTAGTGACTTTTTGACTTTTTAGTGACTTTTTGACTTTTTTTTTTGACTTTTTAGTGACTTTTTAACTTTTTTCTTTTTTTTAGTGACTTTTTGAGTGACTTTTTTTTTGAGTGACTTTTTGAGTGACTTTTTCAGTGACTTTTTCAGTGACTTTTTCAGTGACTTTTTGACTTTTTGTGACTTGTGACTTTTTGACTTTTTTGACTTTAGTGACTTTTTGAGTGACTTTTTCAGTGACTTTTTGAGTGACTTTTTGAGTGACTTTTTTGAGTGACTTTTGACTTTTTGAGTGACTTTTTGAGTGACTTTTTGAGTGACTTTTGAGTGACTTTTTGAGTGTTTTTTGACTTTTTGACTTTTTTACTGACTTTTTTTAGTGACTTTTTTTTGACTTTTTTCAGTGACTTTTTCAGTGACTTTTTTAGTTTTTCAGACTTTTTCAGTGACTTTTTTAGTGACTTTTTGAGTGCTTTTTGAGTGACTTTTTGAGTGACTTTTCAGTGACTTTTTGAGTGACTTTTTGAGTGACTTTTTGAGTGACTTTTCACTGTTTTTCAGTGACTTTTTGAGTGACTTTTTTGAGTGACTTTTTGAGTGACTTTTTGAGTGACTTTTTGAGTGACTTTTGTGACTTTTTTGACTTTTTTTGAGTGACTTTTTGTGAGTTTTGACTTTTTTGAGTGAGTTTTTTGAGTGACTTTTTCAGTGACTTTTTTGACTTTTTCAGTGACTTTTTGAGTGACTTTTTTAGTGACTTTTTGACTTTTACTTTTTTGAGTGACTTTTTTGACAGTGAGTGACTTTTGAGTGACTTTTTGAGTGACTTTTTGAGTGACTTTTTGAGTGACTTTTTGAGTGACTTTTTGAGTGACTTTTTGAGTGACTTTTTGAGTGACTTTTTAGTGACTTTTTGAGTGACTTTTTAGTGACTTTTTGAGTGACTTTTTCAGTGACTTTTTTAGTGACTTTTTTAGTGACTTTTTTAGTGACTTTTTTAGTGACTTTTTGAGTGACTTTTTTAGTGACTTTTTTAGTGACTTTTTTAGTGACTTTTTAGTGACTTTTTTAGTGACTTTTTCAGTGACTTTTTCAGTGACTTTTTCAGTGACAGTGACTTTTTTGACAGTTGACTTTTTCAGTGACTTTTTCAGTGACTTTTTCAGTGACTTTTTCAGTGACTTTTTCAGTGACTTTTTCAGTGACTTTTTCAGTGACTTTTTCAGTGACTTTTTGACTGACTTTTTGAGTGACTTTTTGAGTGACTTTTTGATGACTTTTTGAGTGACTTTTTGAGTGACTTTTTGAGTGACTTTTCAGTGACTTTTTCAGTGACTTTTTCAGTGACTTTTTCAGTGACTTTTTCAGTGACTTTTTGAGTGACTTTTTCAGTGACTTTTCAGTGACTTTTTCAGTGACTTTTTTCAGTGACTTTTTCAGTGACTTTTTCAGTGACTTTTTCAGTGACTTTTCAGTGACTTTTTCAGTGACTTTTTCAGTGACTTTTTCAGTGACTTTTTCAGTGACTTTTTCAGTGACTTTTTCAGTGACTTTTTTCAGTGACTTTTTCAGTGACTTTTTCAGTGACTTTTTCAGTGACTTTTTCAGTGACTTTTTGACTTTTTCAGTGACTTTTTCAGTGACTTTTTTCAGTCAGTTTTTTTCAGTGACTTTTTCAGTGACTTTTTCAGTGACTTTTTCAGTGACTTTTTTTTTCAGTGACTTTTTCAGTGCTTTTTCAGACTTTTTCAGTGACTTTTTCAGTGACTTTTTCAGTGACTTTTTTCAGTGACTTTTTCAGTGAACTTTTTCACAGTGACTTTTTCAGTGACTTTTTGTGACTTTTTTAGAGTGACTTTTTGAGTGACTTTTTGAGTGACTTTTTGAGTGACTTTTTGAGTGACTTTTTGAGTGACTTTTTGAGTGACTTTTTTTAGTGACTTTTTGAGTTTTTTGACTTTTTTGAGTGACTTTTTTAGTGACTTTTTGAGTGACTTTTTTGAGTGACTTTTTTGAGACTTTTTGAGTGACTTTTTGAGTGACTTTTTGAGTGACTTTTTAGTGACTTTTTTACTGACTTTTTACTGACTTTTTTAGTGACTTTTTTATTGACTTTTTTAGTGACTTTTTTAGTGACTTTTTCACTTTTTTACTTGACTTTTTTAGTGACTTTTTTGACTTTTTACTTTTTCAGTGACTTTTTTTTTTTCAGTGACTTTTTGAGTGACTTTTTGTGACTTTTCAGTGACTTTTTGACTTTTTGTGACTTTTTCAGTGACTTTTTGACTGACTTTTTAGTGACTTTTTGTGACTTTTTCAGTGACTTTTTGAGTGACTTTTTGAGTGACTTTTGAGTGACTTTTTGAGTGACTTTTTGAGTGACTTTTGAGTGACTTTTTGAGTGACTTTTTGGGTGACTTTTTGGGTGACTTTTTGGGTGACTTTTTGGGTGACTTTTTAGTGACTTTTTTAGTGACTTTTTTACTTTTTCAGAACTTTTTTTACTTTTTTACTGAACTTTTTTAGTGACTTTTTTAGTGACTTTTTTTGTGACTTTTTTACTGACTTTTTTACTTTTTTTGACTTTTTTTTTTTACTTTTTTCTGACTTTTAGTGACTTTTTTACTTTTTTTTTTTTAGTGACTTTTTTACTGACTTTTTCAGTGACTTTTTGAGTGACTTTTTGAGTGACTTTTGAGTGACTTTTTGAGTTTTTGACTTTTTGAGTGACTTTTTGAGTGACTTTTTGAGTGACTTTTTTCAGTGGACTTTTTCAGTGACTTTTTCAGTGACTTTTTCTTTTTCAGTGACTTTTTCAGTGACTTTTCAGTGACTTTTTTCAGTGACTTTTTCAGTGACTTTTTCAGTGACTTTTTCAGTTTTTCAGTGACTTTTTTCAGTGACTTTTTACTTTTTCAGTGACTTGTTTTTTCTGACTTTTTTAGTGACTTTTTAGTGACTTTTTTACTGACTTTTTAGTGACTTTTTTATGACTTTTTTAGTGACTTTTTTAGTGACTTTTTACTGACTACTTTTTAGTTGACTGACTTTTTTACTGACTTTTTACTGACTTTTGACTTTTTTGACTTTTTTTTCTCTTTTTTCGTGACTTTTTTAGTGACTTTTTTACTGACTTTTTTCTGACTTTTTTACTGACTTTTTTAGTGACTTTTTTAGTGACTTTTTTAGTGACTTTTTTTTTTAGTGACTTTTTTAGTGACTTTTTGAGTGACTTTTTAGTGACTTTTTTGAGTGACTTTTTTTTTTTGGGTGACTTTTTGAGTGACTTTTCAGTGACTTTTTCAGTGACTTTTTCAGTGGTGACTTTTTGGTGACTTTTGTGACTTTTGAGTGACTTTTTGAGACTTTTTTAGTGACTTTTTTAGTGACTTTTTTAGTGACTTTTTGAGTGACTTTTTGAGTGACTTTTTGAGTGACTTTTTGAGTGACTTTTTGAGTGACTTTTTGAGTGACTTTTTGAGTGACTTTTTTAGTGACTTTTTGAGTGACTTTTTTAGTGACTTTTTTACTGACTTTTTTAGTTGAATTTTTTAGTGACTTTTTTACTGACTTTTTTAGTGACTTTTTTAGTGACTTTTTTACTTTTTTATGACTTTTTACTGACTTTTTTAGTGACTTTTTTACTGTGACTTTTTTACTGTGTGACTTTTTACTGACTTTTTACTGACTTTTTTAGTGACTTTTTTAGTTACTTTTTTAGTGACTTTTTTAGTGACTTTTTAGTGACTTTTTAGTGACTTTTTGAGTGACTTTTGAGTGACTTTTTGAGTGACTTTTTGAGAACTTTTTTGACTTTTTGAGTGACTTTTTTGAGTGACTTTTTTTGAGTGACTTTTTGAGTGACTTGAGTGCTTTTTGAGTGACTTTTTGTGACTTTTTGACTTTTTGACTTTTCAGTGACTTTTTCAGTGACTTTTTCAGTGACTTTTTCAGTGACTTTTTCAGTGACTTTTTTAGTGACTTTTTTAGTGACTTTTTTACTGACTTTTTTACTGACTTTTTTACTGACTTTTTTTTTTTTACTGACTTTTTTAGTGACTTTTTTACTGACTTTTTTAGTGACTTTTTTACTGACTTTTTTACTGACTTTTTTACTGACTTTTTTACTGACTTTTTTACTGACTTTTTTACTGACTTTTTTAGTGACTTTTTTAGTGACTTTTTTACTGACTTTTTTACTGACTTTTTTAGTGACTTTTTTAGGACTTTTCAGTGACTTTTTGACTTTTCAGTGACTTTTTTCAGTGACTTTTTCAGTGACTTTTTCAGTGACTTTTTTGAGTGACTTTTTCAGTGACTTTTGAGTTTTTGAGTGACTTTTCATTTTTTTTTTTTCAGTGACTTTTCAGACTTTTTCAGTGACTTTTTCGGTGACTTTTTGTGACTTTTTGAGTGACTTTTTTTTCAGTGACTTTTTCAGTGACTTTTTGACTTTGTGGAGTGTGACTTTTTGACTTTTTAGTGACTTTTTTAGTGTGACTTTTGAGTGACTTTTTGGGTGACTTTTTGGGTGACTTTTTGGGTGACTTTTTGGGTGACTTTTTGGGTGACTTTTTGGGTGACTTTTTGGGTGACTTTTTGGGTGACTTTTTGAGTGACTTTTTGAGTGACTTTTCGAGTGACTTTTTGAGTGACTTTTTGAGTGACTTTTTTGAGTGACTTTTTTAGTGACTTTTTTAGACTGACTTTTTGACTGACTTTTTGACTTTTTGGGTGACTTTTTGGGTGACTTTTTGACTTGGTGACTTTTTGAGTGACTTTTTGAGTGACTTTTTGAGGTGACTTTTTGAGTGACTTTTTGAGTGACTTTTTGAGTGACTTTTTGAGTGACTTTTTGAGTGACTTTTGAGTGACTTTTTGAGTGACTTTTTAGTGACTTTTTTGTGACTTTTTGAGTGACTTTTTGAGTGACTTTTTGACTTTTTGTGACTTTTTTAGTGACTTTTTTTAGTGACTTTTTTAGTGATTTTTGACTTTTTTAGTGACTTTTTTAGTGACTTTTTTAGTGACTTTTTAGTGACTTTTTTAGTGACTTTTTAGTGACTTTTCAGTGACTTTTTCAGTGACTTTTTGTGACTTTTTCAGTGACTTTTTCAGTGACTTTTTCAGTGACTTTTTCAGACTTTTCAGTGACTTTTTCAGTGACTTTTTCAGTGACTTTTTCATGAATTTTTCAGTGACTTTTTTCAGTGACTTTTTCAGTGACTTTTTCAGTGACTTTTTCAGTGACTTTTTCTTTTCAGTGACTTTTTCAGTGACTTTTTGACTTTTTTGAGTGACTTTTTGAGTGACTTTTTGAGTGACTTTTTGAGTGACTTTTTCAGTGACTTTTGACTTTTTCAGTGACTTTTTCAGTGACTTTTTTCAGTGACTTTTTCAGTGACTTTTTCAGTGAGTGACTTTTTCAGTGACTTTTCAGTGACTTTTTCAGTGACTTTTTCAGTGACTTTTTCAGTGACTTTTTCAGTGACTTTTTCAGTGACTTTTTCAGTGACTTTTTCAGTGACTTTTTCAGTGACTTTGAGTGACTTTTTCAGTGACTTTTCAGTGACTTTTTCAGTGACTTTTTCAGTGACTTTTTCAGTGACTTTTCAGTGACTTTTTCGGTGACTTTTTCGGTGACTTTTTCGGTGACTTTTTCGGTGACTTTTTCGGTGACTTTTTGGGTGACTTTTTGGGTGACTTTTTGAGTGACTTTTTCGTGACTTTTTCGGTGACTTTTTCAGTGACTTTTTCAGTGACTTTTTCAGTGACTTTTCGGTGACTTTTTCGGTGACTTTTTCGGTGACTTTTTCAGTGACTTTGTGACTTTTCAGTGACTTTTTCAGTGACTTTTTCAGTGACTTTTTGAGTGACTTTTTGAGTGACTTTTTGAGTGACTTTTTCAGTGACTTTTTGAGTGACTTTTTGAGTGACTTTTTGAGTGACTTTTTGAGTGACTTTTTGAGTGACTTTTTGACTGACTTTTGAGTGACTTTTGAGTGACTTTTTGAGTGACTTTTGAGTGACTTTTTGACTTTTTGAGTGACTTTTTGAGTGACTTTTTTGACTTTTAGTGACTTTTGACTTTTTGACTGAGTGACTTTTGAGTGACTTTTTGAGTGACTGACTTTTTGAGTGACTTTGTGAGTGACTTTTTGAGTGACTTTTGAGTGACTTTTTGAGTGACTTTTTGAGACTTTTTGAGTGACTTTTTGAGTGACTTTTGAGTGACTTTTGAGTGACTTTTTGAGTGACTTTGTGAGGACTTTTTCAGTGACTTTTCAGTGACTTTTTCAGTGACTTTTCAGTGACTTTTCAGTGACTTTTTCAGTGACTTTTTCAGTGACGTGACTTTTTCAGTGACTTTTCAGTGCTTTTGAGTGACTTTTCAGTGGACTTTTTGACAGTGACTTTTTCAGTGACTTTT